GTTATAAGTCCTTGGGTAAGTCACTCACTTCCTCTAAGCATCAGCATCCTGAAGTATCGCATGGACTCTGTGCCTGTCGCATAGGATTTCTGTGAGGATGGGTGAAGTTGATAATTCATGTAAAGTGCACAGCATGATGGGTGGCACAGAAACAGAGTAAGCACCACATACATAGCACTATTACCATTATTACCAGTTCTTCATTCTTGCCCACAAAACTTTTTTTTTCTCCCTGACATCCACTGGATTTTTGAATGTTACATGAAAAAATTTTAGAAAATATTATCTTACAAACCTTCAAATTTAAATATCTGTATGTAGAACATTCAGCTAATAGTCATAGCTCTCTTTTTCTCCTACAAGCTTTATCTACAAGAACCCTACAATTCTGTCTGGCTTTTCAGCACAGAACAGAACAAAATGCAGGGGTATCTCTTTTTTTCATAACCTTCTAGAGAAATTAGAGAGGCTCTTTTGGGAGATATTACAAAAAATCTGTACGATACCCCTCAGCTGAACATCCAGGGCTCTCCATTACCTGATCCCACCTTACCTATCTAACGTTATTTTCTCTCAACTCCAACACAAACATTCCATCTTTGTCAAGATAGTCTCCATACTAGTAAACACTTAAGGCATCTTTCTACTCAAATCCACATTGCTTCACATCCCTAAAATTAAGCTTTTTTTCTTTTTTTTTCTAGTTAGGCAATTCCTACACAACCTTCAAGGTTCAGGTCAAGTCTTCACCTGTTTTACAATACCAAATGTCACTAGCCTACATTTCTTTCACAATCCTCTGAACTTTTACAGTATATTGTTTATACTGTAGTTTTGGTATATAAATACAGTTCTACCAAAGAACTTTATAAATCTTTATAGAACTTTATAGATCTTTATAAACTATTAAAAGAATTTTTTATGTCTCACAAATAGTTTTGGAGAGCAAGGACTACAATTTAATATATTTTGCAATTCACTAAGGTGTCATTTAATAATTTCATGATTGAATGACTGAATAATGAACAAACAAATTATGTGCTGTTTTTGCAAATTTTTCATGATGAATGTTAAATTATTTGGGGTAAATGAGACTTCTGACATCTTGATTTTTTAAATATAAGATAATTATTTATAGGCCTAAAATACTTGTTAATGTAGCTTTTCTTAAAAATATATTTGAGCCAAAAAGGATTGAGATTCCTGAAAATCTGTAATAAACAAAGGAAGTTAACAAATACTAACTATAATACTTAAATGTGGTTGCTACCAATTTGGGGAGGTTCATTATATTGGCTCATTACATCCAGTGTGCCCAACCTTTTAGCATCTCTGGGCCACACTGGAAGGAGAAGAGCTGTCTTGGGCCACACATTAAATACACTGTGGCACATAATCACAAAAAAATCTCATAATGTTTTAAGTAAATTTACAATTTTGTGTTGGGTCGCATTCATGGCCATCCTGAGCCACATGAGGCCCATTGGCCATAGGTTGGACACCCCTGATTATTGGTTTTGAGGGACTTACAACAAGAGGAAAAGTTTCAATAATCCCATGAGATAAAAAGTAAAAAGCATAAAGCTCAAAACATTAAAAGGTATAAATAAAATATATGCCAAATATTTTGTGTTAAGTAGTACTCCAGAAAAGAGTTCAGAGCTCTAGGCAAACAAGATCTAAATTCCATGAAAATTATTGAATGTTTCAGTTATCTGTGTGTCCTAAAAATAAAAAGTACTATGTTTTATGCAAATTAATATGTTTCATTTTGTTTTACTGGCTCTTGCTGCATATCTGTCTCCAGTGTGATGTCTTATAAAACAAGCACAATGGTACTGTGTTCCTCAAGATAATCTCCTGATGTTAAGGTTAAAGAACAGAGGCTACAAGATTTTGATTAAGTATTATTATTATTGTCATTTTGAATATATAAAATATTGGATTCCTCTGTATTGGCAAATACATGTTTCCAATTTAAATTGCAGAATTAAGAATCAAATATTTCACAGTATCTCATATCTGAGGCTGGAGGTAAAGCTGTCATAACAGGTTTCACCATTCTGCTGTATGAAAGATTTATAAGACCACTATGCAATATTTCTCTAAAAAGAACTATTCTGGCCTGAGAATTGATTCAGTTGATAAGGGTGGGTTCCATTTAGGCAGAGTATGGTGGTTCATGCAATTTATTCAGTTTCCAACTATATATAGATTGCATAACTCAGAATACACTATTTTATTAAAAGTCTATAATATATGGTGTAAAATTTTGACTTTTAAAGCAAGTTTTGTTCGGAACTAACTCTGACTTCCTATTACATATACATCATTTTTACTTACAAAGTACATATAAATTATATTTTAGCAAGCAAAACCTTAAAATTTTCAGTCATAAAAACAATGAACATGTCATAACAAATATACTATATTAAGAAAATCTATAATTTCATATTCAATGTTAATTCATTTCTATGCAAAAGTTACATTTTCTAGCTCTACCCTTTTTAAAACTTCAACTTTTTGCAAAATGTTAACTAGAAGAAAATTATTTTAAAAAGTTTCAAAGAAATTACATTAAAAGTTAACTTGAGAACTGAAGCCCAAAATAAATGTAAATGGTTTATCTTTACTTAAGGGGAACTGTACCATTCTAAAATAAATCTTATTAGGATTCTGTGTATTAAAAAAAATATATATATATAAACATCATATGAAATATATTTTTATCTATTTTAGTGGAAAGTAGTTTACACATAATTATTTTATCATGAATAATCAACATAATTTCTTCAGAAACAAAATCATGGTAATTTAAAATTATATACTTGGAATTCTATTTAGGGAATGATCCAGTAAAGTCTTTATCCAGTACAGGATACCTACAAATTTAGAGAGTCTTAAATTTACAGAATAAAAAATTCTGTTCATATAATATCTTAGAAATATGTTTGAGCTCTCTTCCAGATTTTTCAATTTTTACATTTGGAAAAAAAGTGTTTAAGTGTTAAATATATAGCCCTACTAGATTTAGTGTACTTGACTGATAAATCTTTTAAAATGATACACCTTTTCTTTCATACATTATTAATTACATGAAAATATTAAATAATCAACAATACTTTTAATTCCATGAGTATCTACAAGGCTTATAATGAATGTAAATATACAAAAGTAAACCAACATCTATTTTAACACTTATCTTGAATTTAAGTAATATTATCAGGAAAAGGCAAGTAAAAACAAACCAAACAATAAATTTTGGTTTTCATTAATCTGTAATGTTACTGGATATATGGTAGCCAATAAAACTGGAGTTTTAATACTAATTCAGAGACAATTATTTGATGGTACTAGCTACTTATTATTACAAAAATAATAAAAATGCATTCATATCACTGCCCTGTATATAGTGCCAGTGATATCACACTACTCAAACTATTGATACATTGTATGTTTTACTTTAAAAAAAAATCAAGCTGTTCAACGCATCTCTAAATGTTTGAACTTTCTCACAGCAGTTACAAAAGAAAAGGAAGACAGGCTGGATTAAGGCAAAGTCAAATAACCCTATGGATATGTCTGTAAATTCTTAGCCCCTGGTGATTTTAATCTTTAACCAAACTCCCAGTTTTAGAATCTAAATGGAGTGATATTATCACTTTCAAAGTATTAGTTTTAAAAAATATTCTATGTATTTACTAAGCATAGATAAAATAAAGATTCCAAAACTATAATGGCTATAAGAATAAAAGAATCTACTGATGTTTAGAGCTTCAAAATATTTATATTCTGCCATGTATAGACTAAAAGATACTTCCCCCCAAAATTGTGAAGGGTATACAAAAAAAGGGAAGCATTTTGACATTAACAAAGAGTATAAAATGAATGATTTTATATGGATAACAAATATTCATAATTTAAACATGAAAGAATTTTTTAAATGGTACTAGGAGAAAATAGAATTATTATCCTATTATTGTCTATTTGATAATTTCTACATTTGTATGTGTTTGGTCAGCCTTATATTTACCTATATATTGGTAAAACTATTAGATTCAGAACACTATTTAATTCTTTCAATTCAGAAACATGAAATTAATAATAAGCTACATTTCAATTTATTACAGTGAACATAAATATTCTGTAAATTAAATGTTCTGTGAATTAATGATGAATACATCCCCTCTGAAAACATAGTCTATTACCAGTATGATCACAAATTAATTGTTAATATAGAAGGGAAAGTGCAGAAACAATAATTATAAAGTATCAAATAAATTTTAGAATTTAAGTGAATTGATGGGGAAGAAACCACCTCATTTAATATTTTTTAAAATGTCATTTTTCTCCTACATGTCAGCCATTATACACTCTTAAAAACTCACATTGTCTTTTATCAAGTAAAAATTTTGTTACAGAAAATCCCACACATTAAAAATGAACATTGGCCCTTTATGACATATATGTGCTATATACAAGTTATACAGAATGTAATAGCTGAATTGTAACAACTGTTTTCTAGGCACAAAAGTATATTATACATATTTGTTGATAAAATTTTTGAACATGACAAATTAACAAAGCAGGAATATATATGCATAATAGAGTAAATATACTGAAGACTAATACTAAAAGTGATATTTGAAAATTTGAGCATATGGCTTCATTTCAATTTTTATACTTTATTTTAAAAGTAATATAATTTTAAATAGATTAAATTCCCATAAATTATCAAATTTATATCTATAAATCACAATAGAAATGAGTCACATAATTGCTTCTCAGTGGTAACATTAATAAACGAGTAATTCAATCAATCAAGCAAGCAATCAACTGATCAATCTAAGAGACTCTGATAGTCTTTAAATAGATAAATGACAACTTATTTGAATATGTATAGAAAAAAACTTTATATCCTAAGTCTATAAGGCTTCTTTCCTAAGGAATTCACACTATGCTGTGAATATTTCTCTTTGATTTCTCAACTAAACACTCACTTGTTTGATGCGGTCTGGATTAACGGTGGTCTGGGGTTGTAAAATGCTGACTGGTTCTGTCTTGGCCACATTTTGAGGCATTTCTCGAATTTTTTCTGCAATGAATCCATGAACTGCATTCAGTGCTTCAACAGTTCCCTGGATCAAGCACACTCGTTCAGTAGTACCTGTGGATAAAAAAGTAATTTTTAGAAAGGTTTCTTATTTTGTATTTTTTTTCAAAAAAGGTGTATCACAGGATATAGTAGTGACAATAATGTAAAATGTAGAACTCTAAATTAATTACAAATGTTACAATTGAACAAAATAGAATGTATACATATGCTTTTTGTAAAACTATTTTTTACTTTCTTTTCCTAATTGTCTCAAAAAGGGCCTTTGGATTCTAGTAGAGCCAGATAACCTTAGAAATTCTGAGAGTACCACTCACTCATTGTCGTAACAAATATGAGCACTTATAAAAGAACTTAAGGTTAGAAACTGGTAACACAAATGGAGACTTATGGACACAGCTTTCAAAGGGCACTCTTAAGGGCAAAAAACAAACATCAAGCCAGATAATGATAAGACAGTATGATGTGAAAAACAATGGAGAAACCTACATGGATAGCATACACAGATGGTCTAGAGTAAAAAGAACATTTAAATCAGTAGGTAGAGAGAATTTTGGAAAGTTTACATAGAAGGGAAATTTTGGAATTTCTACCACCCCATTCACTTACCCTGGTCTTCTTTTAATTATAGATTGCAATGCCACCACCTAACATTTGTTTACTTTTTACTTTACCACTAGAATGCAAACTCCAAATGATAGTGAATTAGCCCATTCTGTATGGTGTTGTAGGATCCCCAAAGCCTAGACAATCTCTGAACATTACAATAAATATCTACTGGATAAATACATTCATACTGCTTTTATTATGTAATTTTAATAATGAGATAATATCAAATAAAAGTCAAATGTAGTAAGTTTATGAAAGTTGAAGTCATAATTGAAAAAGATAATAGTATTTACTTCATATCTAGTGAATACAATGTAGACATATGGTGTGAGACATCACTAAAACAAAACTGGTTGGGTCTAACACACAGGTCTATCATCCATTTTATACTTTACAGATAAGCCTAGAGGCAATAAAAATAAATGATTAATTTTTGGAACTATCCTTATTCTCACTGTTGCAAACTGGTATTGAACTGTAATCTTTTCAGCATCCAAACATGACACATAAACTTACTTCTCAGAAATAAATAATACTTTACTAAACAGTAATCAAAAATATAAAAAATGTATTTTTAAACATTAAATATTTGTTTTTGAACTAACATGAAAACTTCTAATTCCTACCTATTTACATTCCCTTTCAGTGCTCGTTTCAAAAATTCTAAAGCCACCCTATATTTTTAAAGTATATTTTGATGGACAAAGTTGTGAAATCACAAATATTTGAACATATGGGGAATTTATGTTGTTTTAAGGATTAACTGCCGTATAACCATTTTTCTAGCAGTTTTAAATTTTAAAAGAATAGTAAAAGATTATCATTCTTACTGAAAAAAGACTTAGATAACAAAAACAAGAATTAAGAGCAGAAATGAAAGAATTATCATATGAATACAACTAATTTTTTATGTTTTAAATAATGGATACTTAAATCTATGAAAAACTAAGCTTCCTAATTGTACAAAATATTTCAATAGAGAGCAAGTATATCTTTCATTTGTAAGGATGGAAAGAATCTTTCCATAATGTGAGTTTAAAGGCTTAATATTTCTTACTTTTCCTAGTCAGCATTTTTCATCCTTGTTTATCTTGATGTACCACTGTGTTTCTTGGATAAAACAATCTCGTTTATAGAAATACTCTAGGGAGTCTTTACAATGTTATATTAATCGTTCAATAAACGGACAGAAAGGATGAGAACGCATCAATGCGGTTCATGCAAAGTGTTCTCACCTAAGTCAGCAAACTAAACCACCCGTAGATCAGAGGACATTCCTGCTCTTGGAGGAAACTACAGAGGGCTGGATATGCCAAAGAGAAAAGGAAATCAGTTGAACCACAACAGGAATTTTTAAAAAAATAAAAAATGGCAACATGTAACTAAAAAGATTATATAATCCATGTTGCTTTAAAATTCTAATTTAATAGAATGCATATCATATTATACAACAGCAATCCCAATACTGATGAGACTGTACACAGGTATTAGATGAAAATCACTGAGCCATTTAGAAATCATTGTTTAAAACTACACATCGCACAGCATGTATAAGACAATTTGAAGAGTTCATAGGTTCAAAGTTGTAGTACATATTCTTTGAAGATTGCATTATATCACTACTGTTAGAATTACTTTTAAAAACAAAAAGAAAGAGATTGTGTATCTCCGATGGGAATTGCTACAATCCTCAGAAAAGATGCTGTCATATTCTTTTACTGAACTCTAATGGCCTTTTCACTTAGATAACACAGAACTATAATTTTTAGAAAAAAGTCACAAAGAGGGAAGACTGTCAGGTATATGACCAAACTGTGTAACAAAAATGAGACTATAAATCATAAAAGTTGCTGTTTCTGTCATTTTAAAGGCCTTTAGGCTCCATTAGTGTCTAAACTAAACTGCCAGTTATCTATCATTTTATTTAACAGTAACATTTGCTTCTCTTTGCAATAGACTAGCAACGAAAGCTGAAAAAGTTACATAAAAATATTGCCCACATTTTTTATAATGTAAAGGTACAGGTATATAAGACACCATTAATTTAAAATTGTACTTTTAAGGGAGAGACTACACAAATTCGAACAGTAGGGCTAATGTCAAATTAGGCAGTGAAATTAAAATGGTTTTAAGTTTTGATTTCACATGAAATATCATCTAATGAAAATACATGTTTCTAAAATTAGTTACAATTATCAAGCAAATTCCATAGTAAGATTTAGATAGAAATTAGGTAAAATATATTCACCGTGTGCTACTATAGCCTTGTACGAGTTACAAAACTGTTCCTGCTCCTCCTCAGTTGTGCAGCAGACCCCATTCACTATCATTTACCAAGTACAGTTTCTACCAGTATGAGAGCTCTTTTTTGCATCATAATTTTTTGTTTCCCAGTAGATCATCTCATCAAGAGAAAAATACGTTATAATTTCTTCAATTTTTAAAGGCTCCTCTGTAAGACAGAATTAGAAAATTACCCCTTGGCAAACCATATAAATTAACTGATTTAAATAAAAACCATAAGCTGAAAGATTGATGAGAAATTCTCAATAAATAAAATGAGTCAGTCACCATCTGACTTCACTGATCAATATCAGCATGAGTAGAATGTGAAAATCTACTTTGGGCTTCTGGGTGTGATACAACATGAAGCACAGGGCACCAATTAAAAGGTGTGTCCCAAAATAGCCGAACCTAAAACCAACCAAATATTTACCTTGTATTACAGTTTACAACTAATACTGAAAACAGAGAAATAAATTTAATGCCACCATGAAGAAGCCAACATAACTGTGATAATCTGATTAGAACAAGGTATTAGATTGTATCAAAGAATTACTGTTAATTTTAACAGGTGTGATTATGACATCAGGTTGTATAAGAAAGTGCTATTTTTTTCTTAAAGATGAAAACTGAAGTATATACCGTTAAAATGACTGGGATTTGATTCAAAAGATTTCTAACAACAACAAAAATGAGATTGGTACACCCAGATCTTGATATTGTTGCTGTAAATGAAGTCTATAAAGGGTTCATTGTACTGTTTATTCTTTTACGTATATTTAAAATTTTCATAACAAAACATTTTAAAGCCCTCACTGATCTCATACCCTCATTAGTTACAGATCAATTTGCATATGCCTCAGAACGCCTTCTCTCTCTATATATGCAGACAGTTTCTACCGCCTCAAGATCCATTCCTTTTTTCTTACGTACACTGCAGTAAGGTTTTTGTCCCACTACGGCACTGAAACCATTAATCATAGCTGTACCTGGGTAAATCTAATCTTCACGTCTTTATGCTGTTTAATCCTTTCAGCAACATTTGACATAGTTGGCCATTTTGTTCTAAAAACACTTGACTTTCAAGAAACAACACTCTCCTGGTCTTCAATTTATTCAATTCATTTATTTGGCAAAAATGTATTGAGTCCCTACCCACTGTGAAGTACTATATTACAAGCTGAAGATATAGCAATAAAACAAAAAAATCCTGTACTTTCATGGAGTTCATATCTCATGTAGACAAACACTATACATAAAATAAAATATTTGGAAGATATGCAATCAGTGCTACCAAGAAACTTAGGGGACAATAACAGGATAAACAAAGATGAAAATAAAATTAAATAATGAAAGGAATCTTACATGTCATGTTCACTACTGTGTCCTCAATGCACATATTCAAGAAGTATTTTTTGAATAAAAGAATAACCCTCTAAGTCTAAATTTCTCCTCTCTGTATTAAGAACATTTTAGCCCTGGCTGGTGTGACTCAGTGGGTTGGGCATTGACCAGCAAAGCTAATGGCCACTGGTTTGATTCCTGGTCAGGGCACGTGAATGGTTGCAGGTCTGGTCACCAGTAAGGGCACATTTGAGAGGCAACCCATTGATGTTCTTCTCTTGCATTGATGTTTCTCTCCCTCTCTTTTTCCCTCCCTTCCCCCTCTCTAAGAATAATAAACAAACAAACAAACAAGTAAATAAATAACATATTAGATTTTAAGATCTTTTATGTATAAAATGTCCATAAAACTAGTAATCCTCTTTGGGTTTATAAAATCACTTAGATCTAATATATGCAAAATAAGATACATTTGGGGAAATAACTTCAAAAACTTGTTATAAATTACCATGGCTATAAAAAAGAATACTCAATGAAAAGAAACATACAGCAGAAATAATGAATAATTCAATTTTTTTTCTTCCCAGGATAGGAAAAAAATAGACCAACTTTAAAAATGTAATCTAACTCAGAATAAAATTTGAAAAAAAGGATAATTTTTGCTGTCCTCTCAAATATGCTCTAAAACTTTTTATATATCTGAGACCTATTTCAACCAGAATGAATCTAGTATAGAATAATGGGCATATACTAATGACTTGATCCACATTTTTCCAACTGTCAAATATAATGAAAATTAGTGAACTTTTTCCGAGGTA